GGAGGATGACAAAGTCGATCCCATGTATTAGAAATCTCCCCTATGAGGATAGACTGACGGCCCTGAATCTGCACTCTCTCGAAAAGCGTAGAATTAGGGAGGATATGATTGAGGTGTATAAATGGAAAACAGGAATAAATAAAGAGGGTGTAAATAGCGTGTTAAAAATATCTAGCCTAGACAGGACTCACAGCAATGGTTTTAAGTTGGAAAAATTCAGTTTCAGGAAGGATATAGGAAAGCACTGGTTTGGTAAGAGACTTGAGTAACAAAAAAAGGCACAATACCGTGACTGGAACGATACACAAATAACCCGCACATAGAAGAGAGGAGCTTACGACGACGTTTCGGTCCGACTTGGACCATTTACAAAGTCACACTAACCAAAAGTGGAGCACGACGCCTATATATAGGCAGGAAGAGGTAGGGGTGGTAGTAGTAGTGGTGGTAGTAGTGGTAGTAGTAGTAGTAGTAGTTGTAGTAGTAGTAGTGGTAGTAGTGGGGAACTAAGGAGGAGGAGCCAGTCAAACATAAAGACAGGGGAGCACTGCAAGGGAGCTAGGTGCCCACAGAGGGAGAGCAAGTGCACAGAGGTGGGGAGAAAGGGGAAGTGATGAAATAAATAATGAAGGAACAGACACACGCGACAGAAGAAAGACAAAAAAAAAAAAAAGGAAAGAGGAAAGGGGAAGAGGGAGCAGAAGAAAAAATGAGGAATCAGGTTAAGTCACGGGTGTTCTGAAGTTTGGAGCATTTTACAATGTAGTGGGAGAGGAAGGCATCTACAGAGACGAAGCCAGGACTAAGATTCATACAAGGAAAGTTGTGTATTAGAGAGGATTCAACAAGACGGAGACTGTTAAAGTTGGAATCAGGGAAGACAGTTTTAGCAGAAGACCAGTCTATAGGATGGCTGTGATCTCTGACGTGACAGAAAAGAGCATTGTTAGTGTCGGCAAGCTGGTATTTCCCTGATTAGCTCTTTTGATTCCTTTCGTCAATCTCGGTCCCGTAATCTTCCTGACTTGTCCACTTTTCGTGGCACTCTCCTTCCTGCTCTTGTTAGTCTGTTTTCTAAGAATCACCACCTTCTGCGCCGTTACCAACTTGCCCTTTCTTCTCTTAAATCTAACACTTACATTGTCGTACTATCTTCTGACAAAGGTAATTCGGTAGTTATCCTTGATCGCGAGGATTACCTCCGTAAAGCTGATGTCTTGCTCTCTGACTCACGTACCTACACTCCTCTCGTTTCCAACCCTCTTGATCGCATCAAGAGAACTTTCAACAAGAAACTAAGGACTCTCTCCGATCTCTGTCCTCCTGACTTTGACCTTGTTCAACGGTTTCGTGTCATCTGTCCCTTTCTTCCCTATTTCTATGGCCTTCCCAAAACTCATAAACTTGATATTCCTCTTCGTCCTATCATATCCTCTAGAGGTTCTGTCTCTTATTCTCTTGCTTCTTGGTTGGCCAAAACCCTCACTCTCTTTCTTGGTACTTTTTCTCCTGCCCACCTCCGTCACTCTCAAGACTTCATTGAACGGGTTCGCTCTCTCCCAACCTGTAAGATGCATAGTCTTGACGTTGAGTCCCTCTTCACCAATGTCCCTCTTGATGATGTCCTTGATTTCCTTAGAGAGAAGGCCCTTGAAGGGTTTCTACATCTCCCTATACCTACTGATGTCTTTCTTGATCTTATCCGCCTCTGTGTGGACTCGAACTTCTTTTCCTTCCAAGGGAAATATTATTCTCAAACCTTCGGTGTCGCTATTGGCTCTCCTCTCTCTCCTGTCCTTGCTAATCTTTACATGGAATACTTCGAGACTGTTCTTCTTCCTACCATCGATGTGCAACCTTCACTCTGGCTCCGCTATGTGGATGACATCTTTGCTCTGTGGCCTCATGACTCCAATCTCTTCCAACCTTTTCTTGAAGCTCTTAATAATCTTGCCCCTTCCATTAAGTTTAAAGCTGAATGGGAATCTAATTCCTTGCTTCCTTTCCTTGATGTCCATGTCCACCGCTCAGATACAGGTTTTTCCTTTTCCATTTACCGAAAACCTATGCACAGTGGCATGTACATTCACTACTTTTCCTATCTTGCTTCCACTGTCAAGAAAAGTGTTATGTCCCTCTTTCTCCGTGCCCTCCGCATCTGTGATTCTCAGTTCCTTCCAGCAGAAATTTCCACTCTTCATAATTCGTTTTCCCGTCTTGGCTACCCTTCCCATTTCATAGGCTCTGCCTTCTCACGAGCTAAACGTAATTTCTTCTCTCCCAAACTCTCTACTCCTGGGAACTCTTCTGTCCTCTGCCTTCCCTACATTTCCGGTCTTTCTAATCTCAACAAATCTCTCCGTCCCTTAGACATCAAGCTTATTTTCCGCCAGACTAACACTCTTCGCACTAATCTCGTTCATACCTCTCCTCCCTCTACAGATGTTCCTGGTGTCTACTCTATTTCTTGCTCCTCCTGTCCTCTTCAATACTTTGGAGAAACTGGCCGATCTCTTTCTGACAGACTTAGGGAGTACAAAAATAGTGTTAGGCTTGCCGACACTAACAATGCTCTTGTGGAAATTTATTTGGTCCCTAAAGTTCCACAGGACAGATATGGTGGACAAAGGGGTCCCAGCAAGGCCGTAATGGAACGGCTGAGCTGGGTGGCCCTTAAACCCACCCAAACAAAAGCATTATCTCCCGAGTTGGCGTGGATGGTAGGCACTTATTAATTGGAGGCAGTCCAGACAAGTTTTCACAGCTCTTTTCTGTCACGTCAGAGATCACAGCCATCCTATAGACTGGTCTTCTGCTAAAACTGTCTTCCCTGATTCCAACTTTAACAGTCTCCGTCTTGTTGAATCCTCTCTAATACACAACTTTCCTTGTATGAATCTTAGTCCTGGCTTCGTCTCTGTAGATGCCTTCCTCTCCCACTACATTGTAAAATGCTCCAAACTTCAGAACACCCGTGACTTAACCTGATTCCTCATTTTTTCTTCTTCTCCCTCTTCCCCTTTCCTCTTTTTTTTGTCTTTCTTCTGTCGCGTGTTTCTGTTCCTTCATTATTTATTTCATCACTTCCCCTTTCTCCCCACCTCTGTGCACTTGCTCTCCCTCTGTGGGCACCTAGCTCCCTTGCAGTGCTCCCCTGTCTTTATATTCGACTGGCTCCTCCTCCTTAGTTCCCCACTACTACCACTACTACTACTACTACTCCTACTACTACTACTACCACTACTACCACCACTACTACCACCACCCCTACCTCTTCCTGCCTATATATAGCCGTCGTGCTCCACTTCTGGTTAGTGTGACTTGTAAATGGTCCAAGTCGGACCGAAACCTCGTCGTAAGCTCCTCTCTGCTATGTGCGGGTTATTTGTGTAAGAGAGTTGAGGATGAGTGGAACAAACTCCCGAGTACCGTCATAGAAACTAAGATGTTGTGTAGCTTTAAAAATACGTTAGATAAATTCATGAATGGGTGTGAGTTGGACCTGACTAGCTGGTGCTACTGGGTCACATACCGTGCTCCTTCCTTAAGTGGAGGTAACCTGACTGGGTGGGCCATTGGTCTAAGCCAGGGGTTGACATGGACCTGCCCCCCATGGGCCAGTAGGCATGCTTCAGTGTTCCTTCTTTCTTATGTTCTTATCTCACCTTCAAGGATCATAACATTGTATCAATCGCATCTGCTAGAAAAATAACAAGATGGATAAGGAGAACCTTCAAACTAGGGATGCCAAGCCCATGATGACACTCTTCAGGCCCGGTGGCCTGGTGGCTAAAGCTCCCGCTTCACACACGGAGGGCCCGCGTTCGATTCCCGGCGGGTGGAAACATTTCGACACGTTTCCTTACACCTGTTGTCCTGTTCACCTAGCAGCAAATAGGTACCTGGGTGTTAGTCGACTGGTGTGGGTCGCATCCTGGGGGACAAGATTAAGGACCCCAATGGAAATAAGTTAGACAGTCCTCGATGACGCACTGACTTTCTTGGGTTATCCTGGGTGGCTAACCCTCCGGGGTTAAAAATCCGAACGAAATCTTATCTTATCTTGTTCTATCTAGGCTGGAATATTGCTGCACACTTACAGCACCTTTCAAGGCAGGTGAAATTTGCTGACCTAGAAAATGTACAGAGAACCTTCACGGCGCGCATAACGTAGATAAAACACCTCAATTACTGGGAGCGCTTGAAGTTCCTGAACCTGTATTCCCTGGAACGCAGGTGGGAGAGATACATGATTATATACACCTGGAAAATCCTACAGGGATTAGTATCAAACTTGCACACGAAAATCACTCACTACGAAAGCAAAAGACTCAGCAGAAGATGCAACTTCCACCCAATGAAAAGCAGGGGTGCCACTAGCACGATAAGAGACAACACAATAAGTGTCAGGGGCCCAAGACTGTTCAACTGCCTTCCAACATATATAAGGGGGATTACCAATAGACCCCTGGCAGTCTTCAAGCAGGCACTGGACAAGCACCGAAAGTCAGTACCTGACTAGCCGGGCTGTGGCTCGTACGTTGGACTGCCTGTGGCTAGCAGTAACAGCCTGGTTGATCAGGCCCTGGTCCATCATGAGGCCAGCTCACAGACCGGGCCGCGGGGGCGTTGATCCCCGGAACTTTCTCCAGGTATATACATCTTTTTTATCTTCACCCGCCATTACGTACTCAGCGCCTTTTTATGTTTTGCTTCCATACCAGGACTTTGGTCATAGAACTTGAACTGGAACGTTTGTTCTCATCATAAAAATGGCAACTGATCTTCAAAAAGAAATATATTTTGGGCAACAATTGGTCTGGGACGTGATAAAACAGTTTTTTCCCCCACTCTGTGGATTTGTACGGCCTGGCAGAAGCCGCTTACTGACTTAAGTCTGGACGTCCGGCTGTGCCGGGGTTCAGGTCTGGGGTCACTCTAACCTTATTGAAAACTTTCCATTTTTTATACTCTCTAAGGAAACCACTGTTCTTTTCCAAATTTCTGCCCAGCTTCGGGTATTTTTTTTCATCAGAAAATATGGAGGAGGGTTAAATACGGCACGAGGTGTTGTTGCGCTATAAACCACCAACAGTGTAAGAAGGAAAGAAATCATTAGTGTGAGAGTTTGTTTGACAAGTTCTTGATGCAGGTTTATCCTTCAGTCAAACTTGTGAGTCACTAGAACTTATCTCAGTCATCCTAGTCCTAAAAATAGTCATTACAGCCAAGCTTGTTCGACGTCCAGTGATTAATCAAGGTTTATCTATGTCCAGTGATCCTGGAGTGTATTGTAGGGGTCAACGCCCCCGCGGTCCAGTTCATGACTAGGCTTCGTGGTGGATCAAAGCCTGATCAACCAGGTTGTTAATGCTGGCCGCACGCAAACCGACGTACGAACCACAGCCCGGCTGGTCAGGTACTGACTTGAGGTGCCTGTCCAGCGTCTTGAAGACAGCCAGGAGTCTGTTAGTAATCTCCTTTATGGTAGTTGAACACCCTTCAAGGGAGGTTCCTACACGCTGGTGAGGGGCTCTTGATCTAGAGAATTGGATCTGTGCTCCAGTTCCCTGAATTAAGACTGAGTACCTTCCACATCATCCCCTACAATGGAAATCAAAGAACCCCAATGGAAATAAATCACTCTGACTTTTTTGGGTTGTCCTAGGTTCTCTACACATATGCTGCTATGTACGATAATTCTATGTAACTGCATTTGTGTATACCTGAATAAACTTACTTACAGGCGCTGTATAATCCTACGGGTTTAGCGCTTCCCCTTGATTATAGCTAATAATAATAATAATAATAATAATAATAATAATAATAATAATAATGGTTGTTGAACAGTCTTGGGCCCCTGACACTTTTTGTGTTGTCTGTTAGCGTACTCATGACACACCTGCTTTTCATTGGGGGGATGTTGCATCTTCTACCCAGTCTTTTGCTTTCATGGGGATTTATTTCCATGCAAGCTTGATATATACTGATCACAACCAACCTTGACATACGTTGATCACAACCAAGCTTGATATACATCAATCACAACCAGGCTTGACATACATTGGTCACAACCAAGCTTGACATATACTCAGTGATCACAACCAAGCTTGATATACATCAGTCACAACCAAGCTTGACATACATTGATCACAACCAAGCTTGATATACATTGATCACATCCAAACTTGACATACACTGCTCACATCCAAGCTTAACATACACTGATCACATCCAAGCTTAACATACACTGATCACATCCAAGCTTGACATACACTGATCACATCCAAGCTTGACATATACTCAGTGGTCACAGCCAAGCTTGACATACACTCAATGGTCACAACCAAGCTTGACACACACTCATTGGTCACAGTCAAGCTTGACATACACTCAGTGCTCACAGCCAAGCTTGACATACACTCATTGGTCACAGTCAAGCTTGACATACACTCATTGGTCACATCAAGCTTACATACACTATTGGTCCAGTCAAGCTTGAACCTACAGTTCATGCTTCCAGCCAAGTTTACATACACTCATGGCACAGTAAGCTTGACATACACTCAGTGCTCACAGCCAAGCTTGACATACACTCATTGGTCACAGCCAAGCTTGACATACACTCATTGGTCACAGTCAAGCTTGACATACACTCAGTGCTCACAGCCAAGCTTGACATACACTCAGTGGTCACAATCAAGCTTGACATATACTCATTGGTCACAATCAAACACATTTCCCAGGCACTTTAACCCCTACAGGTTCAGCACTTTCCCATGAGTTTAATAATAATAAATGAAGGATAGTTTCAGACTGAGTGCTTCTCGTGAATTTAGTAATAGTAATACTAATACTGTAAACCCTCTATATAATGTACCTTTGGATAATGGACTTAAGAAATAAGGAACATTATCCATTGGATCAGTTGATTCAGAGACTATGGATAAATTTTGTTGGTTACAAAATGTCAATTATTGTTTTACTCATGGCAAAAAAATCTCTTGTCTGTCCACCGCAACTGTAATTACTGGCCACCCATGCCTCCTATAGTCCGTTATATGGAGGACTTACTATACATAATTTCAGAGTGCTTTAGTGCCAGGATATATTACTGTCTGATAGTCTCGCCTAAACTGTAGACTTTCATTGTGGTTTCTTATATGACCACAGATTAATTACATCACCTGGGACTTGCATTCCCTTAGGGTAGGTTCCTTGATGCTGGTAGGGGCTCTGGAGCTAAGAAATTGAATGTTGCAGATGTTTGGAATAGGTGGCAGGTTACTTAAAGCAGTAAAAAGTTTTTATGCAGAATGTGAGGTTTAGGTTAAGGTAAGTAGGAAAGAAAGGGATGTGATGTTGCCATGGTTGTTTAATATATTTATAGATGATGCTGTAAAGTTATTGAACGGTAAAGTGTCAAGGAATGGTGTGGGAAATGGGAGCCGTCAATTCTTTTGGGAGGGTCTGAACGCAGATTATAGAGCTTTGCTACTCAATTGACAGCCCGCGGTCCGAATCTGGACCTTCTGAGTGTTGTAGTTGGACCGCGGGCTTCAGGAGAAAGCTTAGTTAAATAACAGCTGTTACCACGTTCAGGATCAGGTGGTACACAAGAGCAGGATTAATACATTATTCTATCTAAATGGAATGATTACACTGAATGGAATACAGTATTTTAGCATAGGTAAATAGTGATATTTTCTTCCATTCAGTGGTAATTCATGCTGGTAATTATCACTTGTGCAGTGAAGTTGACTTTTTTCATTTTGGAAAAAGAGTTTGGCCGCATATTGGCTGGGAAGTCTGGTAACCCTGGTGCAACTTTGAATTTCGGGAAAGGTTGTGCATTTGCATTTGTGCAAGGTATGACTTCAGGTTTCCTCATTTCCTTTTTAGCAAGTTTGATTTTAATTTGCTGTGCCCACCTCTTTTATGAATAAATACATTGGTGGTGTATTTAGCATTGAATCATTGTAATCAGATTGTTCACATCAATGTTTAATCAAATTGGTTAAAAATTTTCCTCATTCTGTTTGTTCCTAATTTATGTGGATTGGATATAAAACATGTTATATTTTAATAAATACAGATAAATTTCAGTAATCAATACATTTCATAATACTGTACATAGGACAGCTGCTTCACCAAACTTGTGTTTATTAAAGTAAATTGGTTAATATTTTCATATTTATTATGCATTATTTTACAGTCTAAATATGACTTCTAGTTTTAGGGTTTTTTAATGCTCCAGATATTTATTTCCATATCAGATGATTTGTTTTACTAAACTAGAAGAAAGTTTGATGATGAAAATTGTTCCTTCAAGGAAGAATGGATACAGCAGTATGCTTTCATTCTTCCCACAAGCAGGTCTAAGCCCCTTTGCCTCATATGTAGTGAAACAATTGCCTTAGTGAAGAGCAGTAATATGAAATGCTATTTTTTTTTTTTACATAATGAAACATTAAGTAAAAAATGTATCCAGACCTTAGCTTACACTGGTACTTGCCCAAGTGGACCTTTGCTCATAGTAGTTGAGTAGCCCTGTTGTAAAGGCTGGTGGAATTTGGGAGGGTGTGTAAAAGAGTGAGATGAAAAGTGAACATAGAAAAAGAGCAAGGTAAAGAGAACAACAAAAAAAATTTAAGCAATAAAAACTTGGATATCAGAGTGGAGGGAGTGTAGAGGAAATGAATGTATTTAGTTGTCTGGGAGTGGATGCTCTGGCAGTTGGGGCTATGAAAGACAAAGGAAATCATAGAATAGGCAAAGGAAAGAAAGGTAGGTAGTGTGTTGAGGTATATTTGGAGAGAGAGAGACATATATTAACCCTTTCAGGGTTGGTGCCGTACTAGTATGGCTTGAACGCCAGGGTTGGTGCCGTACTAGTATGCATAAATTCTAGCACCTTCAAATCTAGCAAGAGAAAGCTGGTAGGCCTACATATGAAAAAATGGATCTATGTGGTCAGTGTGCGTGATATAAAAAAGATCCTGCAGCACACAGTGCATAATGAGGAAAAAAAAAATCTACGACCGTGTTTTTGGTTCAAAACAGCAACTTTGCAGTGTATTTTCGTATGCTATTTATGGTTGTATTCTAGTTTTCCTGGTCTTATTTTATAGAATGGAAGACATATTATGGAAATTGAGATGATTTTGATTGGTTTCACAATGAAAAGTACCTTGAAATTGAGCTCAAAGTAGCAGAAATGTTCAATTTTTGCCAAAGTTCAAAGGTAAACAAATCATGCCACGTGTCCAATACACGTCAACTGGTGAGTGTAATATTTTTTCACAAGTGTGCTGATATTATTTATACCATTTCTACACTAATGCAGTAGTCTGCATAACATAAATCTTCTATTTTTTATGAGAATAAAAATTCATAGTGGAAAGCAAAAGAAATGTAACAGAGGCCTGGGGACATGAGTATTAACAGATGAAATGTTATTTTAGTGCCAGAAATGTCTGTCTTGTTTATTCTGGACCCTATTTGGAAACTGGCATCTTTTGAAATTGGTGTGAAATTGGCAAAATTGTCAATTTCTGACCCCGTTATTGGATAGTGGAAATCGGTAAGTGGGTGGTTTCTTGTACTCATTCGATAGAAAAAAATGGAGTTCTAGTGAAATAGGTATGATTTTTGTCAACTGGTACATTGGAATTGGCTGAAAATAGGGCTCAAAGCGGGCGAAATCGCTGGTGCCTAAACATTGTTGAGACTGCTAAATTTGTGAGAGCATAACTTCATAAGTTTTCCATCAAATTTCATACTTTTGGTGTGATTATGATCGGGAAAAGATTCTCTATCATTTCATAAGAAAAATAATTTTTTTTTTTTTTCGAAAAATTTCCGACCTTGAGAACAAGTTTAGGAGAGGCCCTGCCGACCCTGAAAAGGTTAATAGGGAAAGGAAGGGAAATTTACTGGAGTACTAACTCTTTTGTATGGGTATAAGCCATGGGCTTTTAAATATTATTGTGACTTGGAGCCAGAAGGCAGTAGAAATATCATGTTTGAGAGTAAAGTGGTGGTAATATGCAAAGAATTTGGAGCACAGAAATGGGAACATTGTATATTATTTAGGTAATTATTAAGAAGGCAGATGAAAGGTTGTTGAGGTGGTTTGGACTTTGGAGAAAATGAATCAGAAAAGGATGACTATGAGGGAGTACAAATCTGGGGTGAAAGGAAGGAGAGGTAGGGGTCATCCCAGGAAGGGTTGGAGGGAGGGTGTGAAGGGGGTTTTAACCCTTTGACTGTTTCAGGCCCCTTTCTGAAACTGTCATTCTATGTCGCTCAATTTTTTGAAAAAAAAAAATTATTTTTTCTTATGAAATGATAAACTTTTCCCGATGGTAATGACACCAAAAGTTCGAAATTTGGTCGAAAACTCTTGGAATTATGCTCCCGCGAAGTTAGCGGTCTCGGCGACATATGCGTATCGGCGATTTCGCCGACTTTGAGCCCTATTTTCAGCCAATTCCATTGCTCCAGTTGACCAAACTCATAGCTATTTCTTTAGAACTCCATTTTATCTATCAGCTGAGTACAAGAAACCTCCCATTTACTAATTTGGACTACCCAATATGGTGGTCAGAAATTGGCAATTTGGCCAATTTCACGCAAACTAAAAAAGATGCCAATTTCAAAATAGGGTCCAGAATAAACAAGGTAGAAATTTGTGGCACTAAAATAACATATGCTCTGTTCATTAGTCACATCTCTAGGCCCCTCTTATATTATTATTGCTTTCTATTTTGATTTTTTATTCATACAAAAAAATACAAAATTTACTGTTATGCAGACTACTGCATTATTGTAAAAATGGTATAAATAATATCATTGCACTAGTGAAAGAATATTAGACTCCCCAGTTGACGTGTATTGGACGTGTGGTGTGATTTATTTACTCCTGAACATTGGTAAAAATCAAACATTTCCGCTACTTTGAGCTCAGTTTCAAGGTCGTTTTCATCGTCAAAGTAATGAAAATCATCTCTATTTCTGTAATATGTTTTCCATTTTATCACCTAAGACCATGAAAACGCGAATACAACGATAAATACTATACGAAAATACACCTCAAAATCGGCGTTTTATTCCAAAAAAACGATCAGAGTTTTTTTTCTCATTACGCAATGTGTGCTGCAGGATTTTTTTGATGTGGTGCACACTGACCACACAGACCCATTCTCTCACATGTGGGCCTACCAGCTTTCTCCCGCTTGATTTGAAGCCGCTAGAATTATTGAGTATATATACGTCAGAAACATTGGCTCGTAAGACGTATTTATACGTCGAAAACAGTCAAAGGGTTAAATGGTAGGGGCTTCAGCATCCAGCAGACATGTGTGAGCATGATATATCAAAGTGGAGACAAGGGTTGTTTTAATATTTAATGTGCTATTGGAGTATGAGTGGTGCAACATTTATGAAGTGATTTAGGTAAACCAGTTACCAGACTTGAGTCCTGAAGGGGAAAAGTACAGGTCCAACACTCTGAAACAGGGGTGAGGATGTTGCAGTTCAGCAAATCAGTTAAATTGTGATTTTATGCACTTCTGGCAAAGCGGCTTTTGAATAAATGATACTGAAAAATTCTCTACCTTGGTAGGAGAGAACTAGTGCAGCAAACAAAAAAGTTATTAAGCAACTTCACTCATATACAAGCATCATGACTTTGGGGGTTTAATGATATTTTCAGTATAGATAGAGGCTAAGCAAAATACCCTGAACGTGTAATTAGTACAGTGGAACCTCGGTTTTCATATGACATAGTCTTTATGTAAAACTATAGTTATTCTCTATAAAATGTAATTTTTTTTTTTTAATATTTTTGGGTGTCTTGAATGGACTAATTGGAATTACATTATTTCTTATTGGAAATATTAACAAAAAATACATTTTATAGAGAATAACTATACATGTAGTTTTACATACAGACTAGGCATATGAAAACTGAGATTCCACTGTTTTATGTATTTTCATTTTGTCATGAAATACTGTGAAAAACAAAAAGGCACAATACCTTAAATGGAACAATACACAAATAACCTGCACATAGGAGAAGGATACTTATGACATTTTGATCCAACTTGGACAATTAACTAGTCCAAGTCGGACCAAAATGTTGTCATAAGTTTCTTTCACTTACGTGCAGGTTATTTGTGTAATGAAATACATTACTGTATATAGTTAACTCTGAAGATGTGTGTGTAAGCACTCAGGTTTTATTTCCCATTTTGACTATGGCATTTTTTTTTTCATATTTCCAGTCTTGCATTTTATTGTGATTTCTTCCATAGTTAAGTGTATGTAATAAATAAAGCTGAAACAAATTCTTATGTTTTTGTTTCATTTTGCTCACTCAGGTTACAGTACTAGCACAATCATTATGCCTTAAGAGAAACTCCAGTACTGACTGTTCATAATCTGGCATTTTGAAAAGCTGTACCTTCAAGATGGTGAGCGCACTAACAATTCGTGAGTATCTGACTGTGTCAGTTACACTGCTCTACCTGGTGCTCTTCTTCTACATCTACGTTCAACTTATACTTGTCCTTGTTTATGGGCACAAAAGATGGTGGGTATAAATTGCTTTGTGTTATTTTTTAGTAACACATCGGCTGATTCCCACCAAGGCAGGGTGGCCCAAAAAAGAAAAACTTTCATCATCATTCACTCTATTACTGTCTTGCCAGAGGCGTGCTTATAGTGCAGTTATAAAACTACAACATTAACACCCCTCCTTCAGAGTGCAGACACTGTGCTTCCTATCTGCAGGACTCAAGTCCAGCCTGCTGGTTTCCCTGAATCCCTTCATAAATGTTACATTGCTCACACTCCAACAGCACGTCAAGTATTAAAAACCATTTGTCTCCATTCACTCCTATCAAATATGCTCATGCATGCTTGCTGAAAGTCCAAGCCCCTTGCAGACAAAACCTCCTTTACCCCCTCCCTCCCCCCTTTCCTAGGCCATCCCTTACCCTGCCTTCCCTCCACTACAGATTTATATACTCTTGAAGTCATTCTGTTTTGTTCCAGCCTCTCTACATGTCCAAACCACCTCAACAACCCCTCCTCATCCCTCTGGATAATAGTTTTAGTAATCCTGCACCTCCTCCTAATTTCCAAACTACGAATTCTCTGCATTATATTCACACCACACATTGCCCTCAGACATGACTTGTCCACTGCCTCCAGCCTTCTCCTCGCTGCAACATTCATCACCCATGCTTCACACCCATATAAGAGTGTTGGTATAACTATGCTCTCATACATTCCCCTCTTTGCTTCCACGGACAAAGTTCCTTGTCTCTACAGACTCCTAAGTGCACTACTCACCCTTTTCCCCTCATCAGTTCTATGATTCAGCTCATCCTTCATAGACCCATCTTCTGATACATCCACTCCTAAATATCTGAATACATTCACCTTTTCCATACTCTCTCCCTCAAATCTGATATCCAATCTTTCGTCACCTAATCTTTTTGTTATCCTCATCACCTTACTCTTTCCTATATTCACTTTTAATTTTCTTCTTTTCATACCCTACCAAACTCATCCACCAACCTCTGCAACTTCTCTTCAGAATCTCCCAAAAGCACAGTGTCATCATCAAAGAGAAACTGTGACAACTCCCACTTTGTGTTAGATTCTTTATCTTTTAACCCCACACCTCTTGCCAAGACCCACACATTCACTTCTCTTACAACTCCATCTGTAAATATATTAAACAACCATGGTAACATCACACATCCTTGCCTAAGCCCTACTTTTACTGGGAAATAATCTCCCTCTCTCCTACATACTCTAACCTGAGCCTCACTATCCTCATAAAAACTCTTCACTGCTTTCAGTAACCTACCTCCTATTCCATATACCTGCAACATCTGCCACATTGCCTCCCTATCCACCCTGTCATATGCCTTTTCCAAATCCACAAATGGCACAAAAATTTCTTTACCCTTATCTAAATACTGCTCAACTATATGTTTCACTTTAAACACTTGGTCTACACACTCCCTACCTTTCCTAAAGCCTCCTTGTTCATCTGATATCCTGCTCTGTCTTACTCTTAATTCTTTCAATAATAACTCTACCATACACTTTACTAGGTACACTCAACAGACTTCTTCTTCTTTCAACAAACTGGCCATATCCCACCAAAGCAGGGTGGCCCACAAAAGAAAAACAAAAGTTTCTCTCTTTAACTTTAGTCAAGTATACAGAAGGGGTTACTAGCCCCTTGCTCCCAGCATTTTAGTCGTCTCTTATGACTCACATGGCTTACGGAGGAAGAATTCTGTTCCACTTTTCCTATAATTTTTGCACTCTTTTTGTCCCCTTTGCCTATGTACAAAGGAACTATGCACGCTCTCTGCCAATCCCTAGGTACCTTACCCTCATCCATACATTTATTAAATAATAGCACCAACCACTCCAAGACTGTATCCCCACCTTCTTTTAACATTTCTGTCTCTATCCCATCAGTCCCAACTGCCTTACTCCCTTTCATTCTACCCACTGCCTCACGAACTTCCCCCACACTCACAATTGGCTCTTCCTCACTCCTACAAGATGTTATTCCTTCTTGCCCTATACACGAAATCACAACTTCCCTATCTTCATCAACATTTAATAATTCCTCAAAATATTCCCTCCATCTTCCTGATACCTCTGACTCTCCATTTAATAATTCTCCTCTTCTATTTTTAACTGACACATCCATTTTTTCTCTAGGCTTCCTTAACTTGTTAATCTCACTCCAGAACTTTTTCTTATTTTCAACAGAATTTGTTGATAACATCTCACCCACTCTCTCATTTGCTCTCTTTACATTGCTTCACCATTCTCTTAACCTCTCTTTTTCTCTCCATATACTCTTCCCTCCTTGCATCACTTCTACTTTGTAAAAACCTCTCATATGCTAACTTTTTCTCCCTTACAACTTAAATTATGTATTACCTATAACTAAACCCCTTTCTGTACGAAGTTCAATCAGATGCTCCCCATTGTCATTTACACATGGCACCCGAAACTTACCTACCACACCTTCTCTAAATGTTTCTCCTTCTTTAGCATTTAGGTCCCCTACCACAGTTACTCTCTCACTTGGTTCAAAAGTTCCTATATATATTTCCTTAACATCTCCTAAAATTTCTCTCTCTCTTCTACACTCCTCTCCTCTCCATGTGCATACACACTTATTATGGCCCACTTTTTGCATCCGACACTTATTTTAATCCACATAATCCTTGAATTTATACATTTATATTCCCTTCTCTCCTTCCATAACTGACCTTTCAACATTATTGCTGCCCCTTCCTTAGTTCTAACCCTCAGATACTCCTAACTTAATTCCATTTATTTCTCCCCACTGAAACTCGCCTACCTCCTTCAGCTTTGTTTCGGTTAGGGCCAGGACATCCAACTACTTTTCATTCATAACTTCAGTAATCATCTCATTCTTATCATCCGCACTACATCCACGCACATTCAAGCATCCCAGTTTTATAAAGTTTTTCTTCTTGCTTTGTTTTTGCAATCAAAATACAGTGTTAGTATATTTTTTAATTTAAACTAGGATTACTACATTAAATAAGTACTGTACTTTTTATGGTATACTAAACACAGAATATATTGTATGTGCAACTTAAAATAAGTAATCTTAGCAGTGCACTTCTGAGAAAAGGTAGTGTTGACTATTTGTCCTTTCCTGCTTGATAAGAACAGAGCTATACATGTTTAATAATTTCTTATTAGGCAATTAGTAATATAAATTTCATTGCCATGAGTTATAGAAAAATATTTTATGCTATTGGAATGATTTTACTTTCACAAGATAATCTCCTCAGGTGCTATCGAACTTTTCTGCTGTATACGTGTGCCATGTGGGCTGGGCTGCGGGTGACTCTCTTCTCATACTATTGTTACCTAGAGCATAACAACCTTCAAGAGACCATCCCAGAGTTGTCACGTCACGTGGGAGCTGCAGTCTACTTCATTCTCTTTTCTCTACCAGTATACTTACAGTTTTGTGTCCTATGTCTTCTGGTCTCATATTTTGCACAGGTTTGTGGTGCTTTTGTTTAATCCTTCTTTGTGAATATAGTAATGCAATAATAATAGTAATAATAATCTTCTTCGTTTCTTTCAACAAACCGACCGTATCCCACCGAGGCAGGGTGGCCCAAAAAGAAAAACAAAAGTTTATCTTTTTCAATTTAGTAATTTATACAGGAGAAGGGGTTACTAGCCCCTTGCTCCTGGCATTTTAGTCGCCTCCTACAACATGCATAGCTTACGGAGGAAGAATTCTGTTCCACTTCCCCATGGAGGTAAGAGGAGATAAACAAGAACAAGAACTAGTAAGAAAATAGAAGAAAACCCAGAGGGGTGTGTATATATATGCTTGTACATGTATGTGTAGTGTGACCTAAGTATAAGTAGAAGTAGCAAGACGTACCTGAAACCTTGCATGTTTATGAGACAAAAGTGGACACCAGCAATCCTACCATCATGTAAAACAATTACAGGCTTTTGTTTTACACTCACTTGGCAGGACGGTAGTACCTCCCTGGGCGGTTGCTGTCTACCAACCTACTACCTAGGAGTATTAATAATATATAATAATAATAATAATAATAATTTATTTTATTTTATTAAGACATTGGCCGATTCCCACCAAGGCAGGGTGGCCCGAAAAAGAAAAACTTTCATCATTCACTCCATCACTGTCTTGCCAGAGCCATGCTTACACTACAGTTATAAAACTGCAACATTAACACCCCTCTGTCAGAGTGCAGACACTGTACTTCCCATCTCCAGTGTCAGCATAGTTGCTGATCCCCTACATGTGTTGTATAGCTTATCTGAGTATCATAGTTAGTACCATCCATATGTTTTACATACACGACCCCTTTGCTAGACCTAATGACTAGTTTGTATGACGTCACGTGATCCCGCATGAGTGTTTGGGCCTCAGTTTCCCGTAATCCAAGCAGGCGACAGGACAGGTAATTTGGGCTCTCCCCCTTCATACTCTGCTAATATAAGTGTTACCATCCAACAAGTGTGTTTTACTCCAATCATCATATCTCCTACGAACCCCCACTACAAATGGTGCCAGCGGAGGGCCTGTAATTCTGGCGATTACAGCGATTTCTGGAGATAAATTTCTACTGAGCCGGTCGCCATTTTGTGACATTTTAGGCCTCCCGAGACGGGTGACGCTTAACATCCCAAGCCAGCTACCCCGAGCAAGCGTTCACCAGCCTATTGCTTCCTACTTACTGGTCAGTCTTTGTGTCTTAGTGTTTTATTTGCTTATTTGCATTACTTCCGAGGGGTTGACCCGGGTTTGCAAAGTAAGCCAAGCCACCAAGCCAGTCTGGGGGGGGGAGTCCAGCCCAGCTCTACACCGTTCCAGCCTTGCCTGCTAAACCAGCTTTCCACCCCTGCTGTGCTCATCGTTGCAAGTTCTCAAGCCAGTCTGTGTGAAGGGTTAAGCCAAGCCAGTCAGCAACCAACCCAGGTGACTTAACCCAGTACTTAAGCAAGCCATGTGGGTACGGTCTTCTCCATCGCTTTGTGCTTCCAGTTCTAGCTGTTCTGAGTGCTTTATCATCCCTGTGGTGTTGTGGTATTTTGTGGGTTTTTAAGCCAGCCCGCCTTAGAATATTTTCGTGCCTAGTGTGGGTGTCGAGTGGCTTACGCCGTTCATTCCATAGGCCCACGCGGTGTCTCAGCGCGGCGGCCTCAAGCACTCGCCCACCTTCCCACTACTACTGTATTTTTTTTTTACTCCTATCACGGGTTCTAGCACCATATTTTACGGACCACATAGGGGGTCAAGAGACAAGAGTGTTCCTTCGACCCTGTGCACCTACGTAAAAGCCTCCTGTGTGAGTCCATTGTCGATTTAAGAGCAAATTCATCGAGGCGTCAATGTGTTGAGAGTAGTGGAGTGCCGCACCAGCTACAACCAACCTTCCTCTACCTCATGTACTACTCTCATTCTCCACCAACGTCGCTACAGTGATAATATTTTTATAGAGACATTTGTGAGTGTTGAGACAATTTTGCAGTGATTCATGAGTGACATTTCTTTTCAGTGACTCTTGATCGGTGTTCATTATATCCTGTTTGCAGTATTTTTTCTCTTTCTTCAGTGTTAATTTTTGTGCTTTGTTTTTATGTCTGTTATGTTGTGTTAATTCTTTTTTATATACTGTACTTGAAGTAAGTACTTCAATGTTTTTCCTTGTTGTGTGCAATATACAAGCAGTATAAACTTGTGTTTACACTTCACAATTATCTTGTGTTCACAGTATTGTGTTCCTTGCCTAGTAATTTATACAGTGAAGTAATTCAGTAACTTGTAATCTTATATTCTGCATCACAACTCAGTGTTGTCTCAGTTATTTTTTTTTCTCCCAGCATTTGTGTATTCTTGCTTTTTTTTTTAATTCATTTGCCATTTTTTTTTCTCTGTGTGTTGAACGTTCTTGTATTAATTCTTTTTTTTTTTTAGCCAGTGTCTAATTTGTCTTATCTCCACAGCCATTATTTTGTTTGAAGCAAGACAATTATTTTCCAATTTTTCACACCCCCAAGCCTCATTGCAAAAAAATTCTCATAGTATTGTGCATATATTGATGTGTTGTGTTCCTGCCTTATTGTGAGTGTTAACCTTTCTCTGTTTTGTAATTTTTGCCCTTTATTATTTTTCATATTTCATTGAACAAATTCACTCTTAGTGCAATTTTTAACTTTTTTTAAAGTAAATCATTCTTTTGCTTGTTCAGTAAGTGTTGCTTAAGCTGCAATTAAGAGTTAAAGTGTTCAATCAGTTCATTCCTTGATCATTTTTTTTATTGTTTTTGTAAACTGCATTTTATTGTGTGTGTATTTTTTTTATTATTGCAATAATTCTTGTGTAAACATTGTGCTGCCATTAAATTTTTTCTTTCAGAAATTTTTATGTAGTGTTGTGTTGTGCAGTACTTTTGATTAGAAATTGTTATTTGCAATATTGCTACAGTTTATTTCAGTGCAATATTCTGTGATTTCAGTTTCACATTCCTTGTTCTGTGCATAATATTTTATTCTTGTGTGTCATTTTATTTTTTTTACATAGAATTGCTTTCCCAGTTTGTTTTAATTTTGCACAAGATTTATTGATTCCATTTTATCATTTTTGTTTGATTTATCATTTTTTGTTGAATTTCTTTATTGAATTGAGAGTAAAGACAACTCACTGTGCCATTAATTCACTTTAAAGTAAATTTGAGTAAATTTGATTTGAGTAAAGTAAAATTTCTCTTGATTTTCAAAGTGTTTTTTATCCAGTTGAGTAATTCTTTTCTCATGTGAGTTTTCCTTGCTTACAGTGTGACGTCAATTTTCTTTACTTATGCAGAATAGTTAAGCATTTTTTTTTTCTCCCATTTCAGCTTATTGTGTCATATATTCCATTTATTATTCTTGCTTTCATGTCCTTGAGTAAGTTCCCTGAGAAGATGTCCCAGTCACTTTTGAATGTTCACTTAGTGTATCATGCCAGTCAAAGTCAATACGAATCAGTCCACAGTACCAATATTCCCATACTGACTGAAAGACAATACCTAACCCTTGAGCAATGTGTTTGTTCTCACAGCTTGTATCTGAGATTTGTTAAAGTGTTGCAAAATGTGAAGTTCAGATTAAGTCCCTATAGATCCATGCATTGCTTATTAACGTAGCAAAGCAGTCAGGCACTAGTAACTCTGTCACTCCCATCTGTGTCCCACCTACACCTTCAGACATGCAGGATAGTGTTCCGTTGCCTCAAGCGTCCGAGGACACTCAGATTGCCTTGAGTGCTCAGCCTATCTCTGCAATGTCTGCTAGTTCAAGTAGTAGTTTCTCCACAGGGGACGCCTTGTCAGAAAACGATTACTTGAAACTAGTAATGTCATCTCTTGCTGATGTCGCAACCCGTTGCAGAAAGACGTCTCTGTTGGGGCTAGTGTACTCACTAGAGTGTCTATTGTTGTTCCTAGTGTTCCAGATGGTGATCCCATCCTAGTTGACAGTAATCCTTGCAATGTAAGAAGTTGTTTCTCGAGTAACTTTTACATGTTGTTAATGTTTGTAAGTGTAGCTTCTTTATATTTGATACCTCGTGTCACTGTGTGTGACTCAGATTGAATACCAGTATTGTCGACCATGTTCATTTCTTTTCCCCTGTGCTTGCAGTGAGAGATAGTAGATCCGTTCTCCCTTGCTTATATTGCGTGTTATAGCGTTACTTTTTTCAACCGGGGAGAGTCATCCACTCCACCGAGTTTGTTCATTCCTCCAGTAAGAAAGATCCGATCCCATGTGGTCTGGTGTGATTCGATTCCTGCTCCAGGAAGACCTTATTCTGACTGTGAAGCCACCAGCACCCATTAGTGACTTCGTCATGAGTCAAGAATTACTGTATCGAACAGCCAAGTTGGGTACTCCAAGCAGAAGAGTATACCAGTTAGTAATTCCACAGTCACTAGTGAATGTAGCTGTATCTTTTGTAGATACTTGTTCAGATCTCCCTCAGTCAAGGCATGTGTTAGCTATTGCAGAAGAATTCGATCCACCCAAAGACGATAAACATTCTGCATATGTAAATCTTACCCTTGCAGAGTTGGGCTTAAATGTATATAGCCTGTATAATTAGATGTCCAAGATGAATGAAGTTGTCAACTGTATGTTTTGTTATTAGCTGATCAGTTTTTCTGGACTCAAGTCCAGCCTGCCAGTTTCCCTGAATCCCTTCATAAATGTTACATTGCTCACACTCCAACAGCACGTCAGGTATTAAAAACCATTTGTCTCCATTCACTCCTATCAGATACACTCACGCATACTTGCTAGAAGTTCAAGCCCTTCACACATAAAACCTCCTTTACTCCCTCCCTCCGACCTTTCCAAGGCCGACCCCTACCCCACCTTCCCTCCACTACATATTTAAACACTCTTGAAGTCATTCTACTTTTTTCCAGCCTCTCTACATGTCTGAACCACCTCAACAACCCCTCCTCAGCCCTCTG